AATTACTTAAGCCATTACCAGTGTAAAGTGCTATCCACCCCTTATGTCAGCATAAAATATAGCCACAAAATTGGTAGTCTGGATCGTGTTATATAACCTCTATTGTGCAGCCAAACATATGAATTTGTTGCTAGTTAGTATAGGCATCCTACTTGTTTTCCTCTGCTTTACTAGTATTTTCTTTGGCACAGTATTAGCTAATGGGAAAAATATAGTATCTACCAATGTGGACACTGCAGAACAAATGAGGCATAAAGCTCATTCTACAATTTGGGGATTCACCTGAACATCTGGAGTTGGTTTAGTCTGCTTTCCTCCCAAACTTCATTTAGGTGTCACACATATTAAATATATTAGATGTAGAGATGGATAGACAATGACTGCCAATTATAAATGTGTGTCCATTTAACCATTTTAAAAATTAACTGAGTAGAGATTCTAATTCAAACACATATAATTGGATACACTGGGGGAGAGACAAGGAAAGAAATAGCTCTAGAAAAACAGATACAGACTCCCCACTATTGTGTTGCTAGCTGGACAATTGAAACTGACTAGCCAATGGACTTTCTTCACTTGGAAAAGTAATTGATGTTAAGAAATTTGTAATATAATTAAGGAAAGCCCTTATTTTCAGGATGCAGCAAGAAGGAAGAACAGGACTACTACTGCAAGCCTACTTTCAGAATTCTGCTAATAAGGAGTTAACAAGTACATTCCCTTTTCCCCCCTAAATAAAACAGAACTTCTTAAAGTAAAAAGTTGAGGTTTGATGTTACTTCTTATTCTACTGCACCAAAGGGAGTCAGAAGTCAATGCCTTTTTTTTCTTTCTCCCTTCTTCTCTATACTTTTCTCTTCCCTTTTTCCTCCCCCACTTTTCCTATTACTTGCTTTCGTGTTTTTACATTTTATATTATAAACTAATAAAAAATAAAACAGTTTCTTTTTCTCTCACTTATCTGGGTTAGGGCCTGATTTATTTATAAAACTTGTTCTAATTACCTTTGCCTGTCATATAGGGACAGGGTAGGCATGATCTGGGTCCTATCAACTGAAAAGGGTCATACTATCGGACCCAGAGCATGCCTTCTTTGTTGCCCTTCAATAAAATGTTGGTCAGAAGGTTCCTAATTTTTATCATCACCCTCTGCCTCCAAGGGTACTTGGCCTTGATCCTGCTGTCCTTTGGGGCAGCTTTAAAAAGTTAACTTTTCAAACAGGCAAAGATCAGGGCAATTTATTAATCTCTTTTCGGAATTCTTCCACCCCCACCCCCACCCCGAAAAAAATTAACAAGAGCGGCAGAAACTACAATAATGCTATATATTAATACATTGCTACTTAATATTAGTAATACTATTAATATATGAATATAGTCATATCACCAGAAAATTTTTTAGCTGCCTTGCAGGCACATTTTAAAATCAAACTCACATCTCTACCTGCATATGTCTTGGTGAGAATCCTCAATGTTTCCCCTCCCCTTCCCTATAAAAATAACTGAAAAACTACACTGAATATAATTTAACATATAAGCCCTCTTTCTCATGTTGATACTAGATTAACTTTGTAACCTTTCTCTCCATGTTCACATTAAAAAGTGAAGAAAGATCAAGATAACCCTCAGGCAGCTAAATATTGTTTCAAAAATTATTACATATGTATCTACTCTAACATGTTACTTTTTATTGGTAACTGGTTTGGATTTCTGGTAATTTATCTGGTTAGAGTAGAACACAAGTGTTCGTGTTCCTTGCATGAAGATGCTTTCTGATTTTGCCTCCTGCAGCAAAATAAACAAGCTGGCCATATAAACATGCATTTGAAAGGTGTTTAACAGTGTCGTATTAATCTGAAGATAAAGGAATAGAGCAGAGCTGGAAGGGACCTTGGAGGTCTTCTAGTCCAGCCCCCTGCTCAAGCAGGAGAACCTATACCATCTCAGACAAGTGGCTGTCTAGTCTCTTCTTTAAAATCTCCAGTGATGGAGCACCCACGATTTCTGGAGGCAAGCTGTTCCACTGGTTAATTGTCCTCACTGTCAGGAAGTTTCTCCTTAATTCTAGGTTGCTTCTCTCTTTGATCAGTTTCCAACCATTGTTTCTTGTCCTTCCCTCTGGTGCTTTGGTGAATAATGTGACCTCCTCTTTGTGGCAGCCCCTCAAGTACTGAAATACTGCTATCATGTCTGCAACTTCCAAAGAATCTGTATAAAACTTTAATCTTTTTAGCACTAAAGTATGGTAAAGTTTGTAATAGATTTGGCAGCAGTTGATCACTTTCCCTTCCCACTGCAACAGGCTATCTAATGCATTAGGAAGGTTTGGAATTGCAAAGCCATTCAGTAGGAAAGACCAAGCAGAAGGAAACAGTGATGATCTATGAACTGTTTTCTATAGAATTGATTTTATTATATATCCCACCTTTATTATTGATTTTCTAACAGAATTTCTCATTCAAACGTTTCCAAAGTATAGAAATGCAGTTATGTAATATATACTGCTCACAAAAATAAAGGGAACATTTTAACATGGAACTGAAGGAGTTTGCGTTCCCTTTAGTTTTTGTGAGCAGTATACATTCCCATTTATGGTGGGGTTTGCTCAGTTCTGAACATTAATTTTGTCATTCTGGCTTGATTAGGAAACCCAGTAGTGGATTCAAATATGTGAACAACCGGTTCTCTATGTGGATGCCGCTTCTGGAAGTCCATTCTGGGCCTGGGCAACAAAAAATTAGCTACTGTTTCTGCCGAAGTGGTGCGAACCGGCTGAATCCCACCACTGGGAAGACCTAGAAAGCATCTTATTATTTTAAACTGGTCTGAATGAAGATGCCCTGGATAGAAGACCTTTCCAGGTGTCAAACTTAGTGCCACCTTTCTCAATCTTTTTCCCCTGGAGGACCTTGCAACAATTCTCAAGTCTCAGGGAACCCTGCATAAAAAGGAAAGCACAAAAAGTTCACAATCCAATTCACTCCTAACCTACACAATACATGTATGACATCATTTTGAGCCACAGTGAAGCAGCAAGCAAGTTGTGCACAAATATTTCCACCAGTGTGAACACTAGCACTACAGGGAGTCCCAAGTTCAAAAAAAATGTTTACTTATTTCAGTCACTATCTTCACAGAACCAGTGCTCGGATTCAGCCAGTTTGCACCACTTCGGCAGAACCGGTAGCTAATTTTTTGTTGCCCAGGCCCCACATGGACTTCCAGAAGCGGCATCCAAACAGAGAACCGGTTGTTCACGTGTTTGAATCCCACCACTGCACAGAACATGTTAAGTTTGGCTTATTTTGTGCCAGGTTGTTCGGCCTAACTGGTGGCAACCTACTATAACTGACTTTTATTCAAGGACTTTTATCAAGGGATTTTAGGGAAAATTTTAATTTTCCTTCACTTTGTCACAGGAACAAATAAAACCTAAATCTAGTAAAGGCCTGTGGGCATCTTCTTCTTGACTCCTTGGAATATTGTCTTTGCCCACCCATATTGAGATTTGTGTATCTCCAAGTCCTACTAAAAGGAAATAAAATTTAAAAAAAAGTATTTTAGGACTGTCAGATGTATTGGCCTGGGCCAGACACTCTCTTTTAGCCCAACTCACTTCACGGGACTGTTGTGGGGAAAACAGGGGGAAGGTATGTTAAATATGTTCCCCACCTTGACTTACAGTTAGTGCTTGACTTACCATCACAATTGAGCCCAACATTTCTGTTATGTGAGACTTAAGTGAACTTTACTCCATTTTATGACCTTTCTTGCTGCAGTTATGTGAATCACAGCAGTTGATAACTTAAGTGACTCAGTTGTTAAGCGAATCTGGCTTCCCCATTGATTTTTCTTTGTTGGAAGGTAGCAAAAAGTGATCACAACACCTTGGGACACAGCAACGGTTGTAAAAATGAACCAGTTGGCCAGGCATGAATTTTAATCACACAATCATGGAGGTGCTGCAAGGGTCGTGACTGTGAAAAACGGTCAGGTCACATTTTTCAGTGTCGTTGTAACTTTGAACGGTCACTAAATGAACTGCTGTAAGTCGAGGACTGCTTGTATTTGTAAAAATAATAAAGGCGGGATACACCAAAAGCGAGAGGCACAAATTGCCTTTAAAGCAGTGTTTCTCAACCTTGACAATTTTAAAGCATGTGGACTTCAACTCCCAGAATTCCACAGCCAGCAATGCTGGCTGTGGAATTCTGGGAGTTGAAGTCCACATGCCTTAAAATTGTCAAGGTTGAGAAACACTGCTTTAAAGTCTCTCCCTGAGCGGAAAAGCAGGCGATTATTGCACGTGGCTTTATTTCTCTCTTCTCTTTCCCTTCCAGCCCAACGCGTTGATATTAACCGCCCTTTCTCAAGCACCGTTTGCAGCTCAATGCAGAGACCGGCCGATTTGTCTGGATTTTAATAGCGACGCCAAGTGCGTCAATAACCCTCCCTTCCCTTTCAAAACTCTATCCCTCCGCGGGGCCTCTCCCTTTCCTCAACCGTTAGATGGCCGCGTTTAAATGCGCCCCGCCCCCTCCCGTCCTAGCGATCCAATCGGGGCGAGGCCTGAGTGGAATTATTTACATCTCCTTACGCTCGCTTACACCCATCTACGTCGCTGGATTTGAGCCTTTCCAACCAGGCCTCTACAGCCGCACGCGCGCTTCACCTTAGGACCCTTTTAGTCCTCCTAGCCAAATGCCTGACTGAAGAGACCGAAAGGGGGGCTTTTTTTTACTGCCCCCCGTGCTCCGTCAGAAACGGAGCCCATCCCTGAATAAGCGATGGAGGCCGTCCGCTCCCGTTTTTACCTCCTCCCGCTTTGGAAGGCTGAGGGAGTGTTATTTTTAAACAGGCATTCACGACGGCGGGGCCGAGGCCCCCGGCGCGACAAACGCGGGCGAAAAAGGGGTCCTGGAAGAGAGTCAAAACGCGCCAAGTTTCTCGGCGCGGAGGCGGCCGAGTTTGGACTAATCCAATATTGGTGTCCTCCGCCTCCCCCTCCCCCACGCTTAGCCTTTGGGAGCGCGCAGAACGGCAAGATGTAGCGGGTGAGGAAATGCGGCCGCGGCCCGATCAGCCAGCGAGGCGCGGGAGTTAGTGCCGCCGGCCGGGCAGAAACCCGCTGGCTTTTTAGCCTTGGGGCTATGTAAAGAGCCACCTCTTCCATCCTTGAGGACTAGTAACTTAAGCTCGTCGTCCACCCTCCTCCTCCCCGGTTGAGCCGCGTCTGCTTTAAATAGCCCTGAAGCGTTGAGGAGAAGAAAAAAAAACACCCTCCGCTTTCGGAGGACGTTCCGACTAGGCTGAGGAGAGAGGTGGCTCTTTCCAACGCTTCTCCCGCCAATTGAGGAGAGCGGCGGGGTGGCCATCGTTGGAAAGGATGCGGTGCGGATACGCTAGCCCGGGGTAGTCGTCGTGGGGAAAGACGGAGGGGTTGACTTTCGGGTGGAAGCGAGTGTCAGGCGTGGTCGTGGGCGGGAACGGGTCGAGTCCGGCTGCTGAGGCTAACGGCGGCCTTGAGGCGGTGGGGGCGGAAGAATGGCCCCCTCGGTGGGTTGGAAGCAACTACGCTGAGGCGAAACTGGAGTCAAAGCGCTTCTTGAGCTGATTTTAAAAAAAAGAAAAGTACACAGTCTTGTGTTTCTCGAGATTAGCGACTATAAAATGTGAGGACTCGATTCCCAGAATGCCCCAGCCAGCTTGTGGCCACTTTTAGGAACAACTTTAAATTAAATTTGCAGGAAGCCTCTAAAACGGGGGTCCTCAACCTTGGCCACTTTAAGACTTGTGGACTTCAACTCCCAGAATTCCTCAGCCAGCTTTGCTGGCTGAGGAATTCTGGGAGTTGAAGTCCACAAGTCTTAAAGTGGCCAAGGTTGAGGACCCCCTGCTCTAAAAGGCATCCTTGAAAGTAACTGGCTTGCTATGTTTCCTGCAGAAGATAAGTATCTTTCACAAAGTCAAAGCCATCTGGCCTATGACGCCTTGATAAAAGTGCATCTACTATAACCAGCCCCCTCTTCGTTGGGCCCGGATGTCTTTTCGAGTAATATGCAGGGGGGGGGGACACACAACACTACTTAATAAAACACAAACGTCTTTTGTGTGCTTCCAACAGGAGTAACTGCAGATTCCAGTTCTCTTTCATGCCTTCCTCCACGTTTGGCTGAGCGGGGAAAAAATGCCTGGCGTGTTGCCGAGTGACAGTCCCGGACTTTCAAGAGAGACGCCAGGAGCAAAAAGCAGGCTGTCATTGAAGTTTTTCCAGAAAAGGGAAACCAAACGAGCACTAGATTTTGTAGAATCAGCGGAAAATGAACAAAAGGCTTCGGCGTATGAGTCTTCTGAAATGTAAGCTTTTCAGTTTTGTGACAACAGAGCGAAAAGTTGGAAAACATTTTTTTTAAAGAGGTTATGTGTAACTCAGTTGCATACTTAATCACAGTAAAAGATATACAATTGAGGATTTTAAGCATACAAATGTAGGCTTTTCCTGTTCTGGTCCAGTGTTTTGGTCAGGGGCAATCAATTTATGGCACAGTGCAGGAAAGGGTTGGGGAAGGACAGTGTGGCATTTATGAAAAATATATTAGTTATGCTAAGCTGGTATTATTGGATATATTGAAAGATATTCGCTTCTTTAATATTTCCCTTCCAGCAGGATAGATAATTTGTGGCCCCAGTGCTGCCTTTTTATGGCTTCCAGAGGCCCTCTTCTGGCTTCAGTTGCTATAAACATAAGACAGTTTCCTGGTGTTTTGAGGTGAGAAGTATTAAAAAACCAGTGGAAGCCCTAAAATATGCTCAGCATGTTAAAAAGAAAATTCCATTCATATCTTTAAATTTTTACTTCATCCAGTTTTCATCATCATTCATTCACTGTAGTCCTTGATCACCTAACAAATATTAAGTTCAGCCCTGGGCCTCAAAAGTAGATTACCCATCTAATTTATGCAAATAAGCTTTTACTGTTTTAGATCTTTGTTATCAGTTTAGATATAAAAATGCCTACAGAAACTAGTTTGCAGTGTGTTAAAAAGTAGTGTGCTATAATGTTAAACAATATCTTTTGAGTTGATTTTGTAAATATTAAAAGTATAAATTAATTTTTAAAAATATGTTAACTGCTATACTGTAACTGTACCCTGAATACATAATTGTTTAGAATCTAAAGTCATGTAAGTGTTGTAAACCTACATGTACTTATTTGGGCAGTTCGTTAAAGTCTGTGTCTTCTGAAAAGTTATATATAGGATAGTATTATTAAAATGCATGCTATATTTTTCATATATATTTTGAAATTGATCTTTTTTATATTACTAGTGATCAAATAGTTCCTGCAGCACAACCTCTTTCACCTGCCTGTTGTGATAAAAAAGACAACATGCTGCCTTTTGTGGGCTTGAACAATCTTGGAAACACTTGTTATCTTAACAGCATACTTCAGGTAAATTTTTAATATGGTTTTAAAAATATAATGTTTTTGGTTTTCTGTCTAACCTTATTGGATGAAGCAGGTTAATCTTTGCTCTCTTGTCAACATCCTTTCTCATGATAAGATCCTGATAAGTTGTCTTTTTAAGGTAACTTTTAGAGCTTAATCTTTACCAGAAAAAATGTTTTGTAATGTTAATTTCATGTCCTATTTTAGGGATATTTAGCTGTTTCAGAGTTTAATGTTTTTCAAGTGTTTTATCCCTTACAAGTAGAAATGTGCTATTGATTAAAACAATTATAATGCAATCTGAATATTTTCCATGCTGATCACACATTATTTGCATATAAATACTTTTTGGAATGTTCTCATTCAAACTTTTGTTATAACCACATTATTACTGTTCTTTTCCTTTTGCCAAAAGTACTCATTCACTTTTTACTAACTCTATAGTCTCCTCTTTTAATATCTCACTCCATCCTTTAGCTTAGATGTTTGACCTATAAATACCAAACCCACATTTGGCCTTGTTAGGTTTGACTATCTGTTTCACAGAAGAGGAACTAGACATCTTTGATAATAAATTAGCAACTCCTTTCCCCCAATTAAAGCAACATATAAAGCACAATTTTAAAGAAAACTGTAAAAATTACTCAGTAAAATTACCATACTAAAAACAAGTAAAGCATACTCAGTTTAAGAAATCCCTAAATAAATATCAAACAAAAAAGCATACTTCTCCTGCCAAATATGCAGACATAGGCATATTCTCCTCAGATTTGAAGTCAAAACCCCATCACTCTAAAACACGGAGAAAGCATTTTCTGCTTCTTGGTTATGACTTTTCTGTACTTGCATGAAAAGGATGGAATCTCTTGCTCTACAAATAATTTTATATGTACTACCTTGTCTCTTTTTTAAAGAAGCTGATCACACATCTTTCTTCAGTGTTATAATAAACAAGTTCAGTAACATAATGAAGGTATGTCATCAGAGACCTATATATGCAAATCCATAATCCATAAGATGTCAAGGTCTTCATCGAAATCGATGGACGAACAATATATATGCAAAAGTTTACACCTTTGATATATTAACTAAAAAGTAGCATGTAGTTCAGGGTCATTTGATGAATGTGAGTTTAAATATGATTTCTGGTCCAAGTAAAATGTTTAATCAACTAAAGCATGTATATTATATTTGAATGTTTTCCACATATAATGTATTCTTAATTTTTTATTTTCTATTTTAATTTTAGGTGCTCTATTTTTGTCCTGGCTTTAAAACAGGAGTGAAACAATTGTTTAATATAATTTCAAAAAGGAAGGAAAGTTTAAAGGATGAAATAGATAAGGTGAGATTTACTGTCCACTATTAGATATATCATAAGCTACCTTTAGAGAATTCAGAATGATGTGGTAACAGTTTTGTTTTTTTAGAAGGAATTTATAAGATACTTACAAACACAGTTATATTATCAGGATAATTCATCACATATCCTGATGCAATCATATGCAGGTTCTTGATGGCTCACCTCATGAGAAAACAATGCATAATCATAAAAATTAATTGAAAAACAGAAAACCATACATACAGGATAACGTCTGGCATCAGTCCCCAAATGAAAAATTATTTTCAGAAGCTTCTGGAGGGCAGTAGGTTGCAGCCAATTGCATATTTTTGCAGGAAACCATTCCAGAGGCTTAGTCTGATACATGTTGACTCCCCTCTCATTTAGAAAATGATGGAGAGCCAGTTGCTCCTCTTGGCAGGATCAAAGTGGCTGGGCTGACTCTAGATACAGGCCTGCCCTGCTTATATAAACGTGCATGTAACAATTGAAAGGCCGATAATATTTATTCCACTTTTTAAATATCTCCCCTCTCCTCAGATTCATTATTAAATCTTCCATACTTTGCACAATAAAGTTTGGTTGCATGAATTTATAGTAACAAAAGTTAGACATGCATGTCGATACAAAAAAGACCATATTTTCATATAAAAAATAATAGGGAAAAAGATAAATTAGTAAAGCAAACAATTTTCTGTCTTTATAGGAAACTACTAAAGAACATTCTTTTGGAAGTTATGAATTGGTATGCAGCTTACACACTTTGATTGTTTCAGTTGAACAGCTTCAGGCAAGCTTTCTTTTAAATCCAGATAAATATACAGATGAACTTGCTACTCAACCAAGAAGACTGCTAAATACACTTAGGTAGTAATGATGTTTTTACAGTGTTTCCAAATATAAGAAACTGCCTATTTTAAAATACTACATTAGCATTCTGTAAGCAGTACTGTATTATTTGTATTAAGGACATATAGTCTTACTTATACTGAGAGTATAGAAAATTTCTGGCAAATTATTAGTACTTTTAATTAATGTAGCTCAATAATTACCAGTTTAGAGTTTGCTCCTTGTGTGATCTCAATGGTATAAATCTTAAATTAATGATTAAAATTAACAGTAATTTTGATCTAGGGAGGCTTTTTATAAATTAATGCACATATAATCATTCTAAATGAAACTGCTTAGTTTGAACTATGTTCTCTATAATAGTTAAATTGCAGTTCTTGTATACCTTGGAAAATGGTTACTAAGGTTGCTTAGGCTCATATATTTCTTTGTACAGGTTTTATAAATACTATTAAATTTAAGTTAACTGAGTGTATATATTCTTTATTTCTTATGTACTTATAGAGAGCTAAATCCCATGTATGAAGGATATTTGCAGCATGATGCTCAAGAAGTATTACAGTGTATATTAGGACATATTCAAGGAACTTGTCAGCTCTTAAAGGAGGAACTACGACGGAAATCACTGGAGGAGCCTGCAATTCAACTGAAAAAAAAGTCTAATTTGGATGCCAATGGCACTAGCTTTGGGGAAGATGATATTGTGCTCAAGGGCCAAACTATAAAGAATTATGAAACCAAAACAAAAGAAAATGCAAAGAGGAAAAATGTTATGGAAGGTGGTAATGAAAAGAAAAAATCAAAAGTCTTCAAAGAGAAAAACGGAGTAGAAGAAAATTTGAGACAGACTCGGTCGAAAAGAAAAGCTTTGGAAGAAAAAGTAGAAAATCAAACTGAAGATATCATTAAACAGTCTGTTGAAAATGAAAATACAAAACCAGTACATAAAAAATCAAGACTTAGATTAAATTTGTTAAAATCTTCAAATGACCAGCCTAGCATTTTATCTAAATTTTGTAGTCTGGGAAAACTGAAAACAAATTTGGTGTCCAAAGATCAAGTTAAAGACATTAACAACTGTGAACTTACAGACACAAGGGAGTTCATACTTTTGCTATCGTTTAGTTTGTCTCTTACAACACTAAGAAGTAGATACTTTTAATGTCAACCTCTTTCTTGACTTGCGAAGTCAGTTCCAATCGGATACGGGTACTGTACCCTCTCACCCTTAAACTACGAGATCACTAGACTAGTAGGAAGACACGGTAGTTTAAATTATCATTTTCAAATATTCCAATTATTAGCTGTAAGAGAAGGCAAAGTAAACCATGCATCTAGTTTTCTTGCCTCTGCACATGTGTTTATCTCCAAGTGAAATGCAATTTTCCTATGAGCGTATCTCAAACAAGCATACACATTCCATGTGTATGCTCCGTCCATATAAACAGAACTTTGTAATATTAGCATATTTGTGTTCCAGTGTCACACCTGAAATACATTGTTTAAATAAAAAGTTTGTTATGGAGTAGAATAAGATGGTCATGTACATAAGAAGTCTTCCAACTATTCTGCTTCAATCATTCTCTTTTTTACTACAGTTATTCAAACTCATTCATAAAATATCTAGGAATTTTTTCAAAAAATCTTTCATAAACAAAATCTGTTCAGAGAAAATATTTCACTTAATCTGTTTTGGGGTGTGGTTTTTTTTGGTACAGAATTTGCTATCTTCAATTTAGTGGAGAGACTCTTCCAAGGTCAATTGGTCTTACGAACCCGATGTTTAGAGTGTGAGTGCTTTACTGAGAGAAGAGAAGATTTTCAAGATATCAGTGTACCCGTTCAAAAAGATGAGCTCTTAAAAGTAGAGGAGAATTCTGAAAGTAAGTAGAACCTCCAAAGTAAAAATAGCTACACATTCATGATTTATACTAGAACCTTATTGGATAGCAGGTGTTGCTAGAGAGTACTCGGGATACTATGCGTTAAACCTTTAAAGGGTATGTTGATTACTTTAAATTTCCCTTAGCAAATACTGCTTTATCATTTAGTTACAAAGCTGGAATGAAACTTGTGGATTCCTAGTCCACCTTAGGCATATTGAGTTGATTTTAAATTAGCTTCGCCAATATCAATAAACTGAGGACAGAAACTTGACCTCGAAATTCTGAGAAAAGACCAAAATATAAAAACCAATGTTCTTAACGTTGTAACTCCTTACCTTGTGTTCTTACAAGTAATTTGTTTTTCCAATTTTTACTACTGCTATAATTAACAGCAATTTACCTTTGTGCTTGCAGAACAACTGTTATTAAATATTGTTGAATTAATGTTATCTCTTAGTTTCCCCAGAGCCCAAAACGGATGTAAAGACTTTGAAATGGGCAATTTCACAGTTTGCTTCCATAGAGAGGATTGTGGGAGAAGATAAATACTTTTGTGAAAATTGTCTCCATTACACAGAAGCGGAACGCAGTCTTTTGTTTGATAAAATGCCTGAAGTTGTAACAATCCACCTGAAGTGCTTTGCTGCAAGTGGCTTAGAGTGAGTATGGGATATAAATAGTATGAAAAAATTACTGGAAGCCAATTAAAATTTAGACTAATGATAAAATGAAAACAGTTTACTAGCAAACATTATTCAGATGTTAATTAGCATTTATGTTTAATAGATACTGAATGAAAAATAGGATCCCATAAATTATTCTATGGAGGGATAAATTTTAAGATTTTATTCTATATGTAAGCTCTGTTCTCTAATTTTTATTTTTAAGATCATTATGGATATAAGTACAACTTTGATAGTTTGATTTAAATAGAATTTGGTACAACCAATTGACTAATTTTCTTTCTCTCTACACTATTCTTTCTACTACTCATCAACCATCATGGCTTAGCAGAAAAGTGCTAGCTAAAGTGGTGCACCACCCAGAGTCATGATGTAAGATGGGCAGCTGTATAAATGGAATCAATAAACACTACAACCTGAATAAGTATGCTTCCAGCATACTCATACACACTGGGAGCAAAAGCCATTTGCTCCCAGTGGTCATATAATGTTTGAAAGGTTTACCTGTAAACCTGTATTTGATTATGTTCTTTATTCAGTGGGAAATCTCTGTGAACATGGATAATTCACATGCTTGTATAACTTTCCCAAAATTATGTAATTAGACATCTAAAATTATTTAGCTGCTACAAATAGATCATAGTGGTGAAAAATATTTGTCCATTCGTAAAGGTATAGTCTAGTATATATAATTTCAGCAGTATGCTGGAAAAAATAAGTAGAATTTAAAGATTAATTTAGTACTTACTTGAATATATGTAGTATCTGAAATGTGTAATTTGAAATATGGCTGATTAAATAAGAATTTTACTTTGGAGTGCTTATTCTGAATGCTTGAAAGATCTGCGTGGCTGCAAGACTGCTCTTTAGTACTGTTCGTATCTGATGAAAAACACAAATCCATAACGCAATGCCATTCTTTTGTAAAGGTGATACCCAGTATAGTGGACTTTTTAAGATCTAGCCAAAAAATGGCTTTCATTGTAGCATACAAAGTTAAAGCAGTTAAACCAAGAAGCTATTTAACCATGGATTGATTATTTTAGAGATCTCAAAAGTAAGCAACAGTGAGCCTATCTCTTGCAAAAAAAAAATTTCTTGCCATCTTTTTGGCTGATAATCATAGAGAAAAATCAGAAAATATAGTATGAGATTACTTTTTTAAAAATAATCAAAATATTTATTTACATCTTGAAAATGAAAAATTACCTTTCGTCACGAGAATTGAAATGTACAATAGAAGAGGTTTTCCAAACTAAGAATACCACCTGAGAGGTTTTATTTATGTGGAAATGTCTGTGGAGAGTTCAACAGGAACCTACTGACCTCGTATTTGGGTCGGTTACTTTAGATACCTAATAAACGGTATCACTACGTGTCACCTTAATGATAGTCGTCGCGCCACTACACAGCCTCAGTGAAACTCACAGATCTTGACAGCTTGCAAATAGATAGTGATAATTTCAGCAGTGATGCCCTTTGTAAATTTTGCCCAGAGCCACTAAATGAACAAGAAGCCAAAGCTGTCACTGAGGACTATGATGATGGTGAGGTCTCTTTTACAGTTGGAGAAAGCACTCAACCTAGCAAAGGACTGAACAAAAAGAACATGGAAGCTGTGGGTCTTTTGGGCGGGCAGAAAAGCAAGTCCAGCTGTGATTTGCCAAATAACAAAGTAGCCCATTCTGAGAAAATTGCTCATGTGATGGGTGAAGCAAGAAATGCTGAATGGAACTGCCCTAAAGCAATCATGACGTTTGAAGAGTGTGAACAAACTGGCACTACGTCCACTGGACTAGAAAATGAAGCAGCGCATGTAATGAATTCCCTAAAACAGTATGAAGGCAAGTGGCTACTTTTTGACGATTCAGAGGTTAAACTTATAGAGGAAAGAGATTTTCTTAACTTGTTGTCTCCAGTTTCATCATCTACATCTACTCCTTATCTGCTATTTTATAAGAAAATTGTAGACTGAGATTGTATTTTGATATGCAAAGGGTAGCTTTTGAAAAACATTCAGTGACAATTTTGTAGATACATGTTAAAATTATTTTCATTCCATAAAAAGGGGCAGATGTGTTGTTTTTTTTAAGGCAATAATTCAATTTGTAGATGTTATACAAATTGCTTTAGAATACAAGTCTGTATATATTCTGTTGAATAAATAATGTCTTAAGAGCAAGCACCATATATAGCAGTGATTCCAGCTTCATCGCACTACTTGTACAGTAAATATATTATTTTTAAAAAATAAAGTTGCATGCATTCACAATCTTGCAAAAATTTGTAGCTGATGATAAAAGAAACATGATTTTTATATAAAAAAGGAAACTGTATCTGTGTGTGATTTGATACTTCACATTTGAAAACTTCGAATTCTTAACATTTTCCTCCTTTATCCCATGAACATTTTGTAAGTGTTCTAATTAAGGTTGAAAACAAGATGCTCATCTCTTTTTCGCTACAGCTAATTATGGATATTACAATGATATTGGTATCACTGGCTAACTTCCATAACATTGGCTGTGTTTCTGTATCAATGATTTTCAGTGTTTATTTGATCATAGTTAATGTTTAGGGATGGCATGCTTCAAATTCATTTTATTATTTAATACTCTCCCCACAGCGGTTTTGGAAAGGAAATATAGGAAACCTGATATTGTCCCTTTGATTTAGGTGCTATAGAAACCACAGCCTTGCTCTTTTTGTATTGTCAATTTTATAAGGACATTTCACTGATTACCTAAACCAGGGGTAGGCAACCTTGGCTCTTTTATGACTCGTGGACTTCAACTCCCAGAATTCCTGAGCCAGCATAGCTGGCTCAGGAATTCTGGGAGTTGAAGTCCACGAGTCATAAAAGAGCCAAGGTTGCCTACCCCTGACCTAAACAATAAAGATAAATTTTGCTGCATTATATGTAAGCTTCGCCCACAAATGGTACTATACTTCTGTGCTGGAAGCACTGAGGTGAAAGGATCAACCAGTCCCCCTTAATGAGCCCATTGAAGTGATACCAGTTTATTTACTCAAATTCACATGCTTTCAAACTGCTAGGTTAGCAGGACCTGGAGTGAATGACAGGAGCTCACCCTATAACACAGCAGCACTTGGGCTTCGAACGTGGGCTTGCAAATTGTCAACCCAGCGTTATAACTGTGCCCATTTGCCCACAAAGGGTTGCCAACCGTTATTAATTTTAGGGGACAATTTTTCTTGTTTTATAGAATTTGTATCCATCAATGGCCAAAATAAAAGGTCTTTGCATTCCGAACAGTTGGCAGAGACATGCCCCAATAGGTGAAGCTAAGTTAAAAGTTGCCACACCTGTGAGTTGGGTTTCTGAACCACTTCTTGAACTTGATGAGAATTTGTCACCAACGTTCAGTGTTAGATAGTGTTGGCAGTAGAATCCTAACATTGCAAAAGTTGATGGAGGTAATTATATTTGCCTTTTTGTTCTTTTCCAACCTAACAGAAAGTAGGAGGCAAGTGATCTAAAAGAGAGTTAAAAATGGCCATTAGTACCATAACTCCATAATCAAAACAAAATGGTAGCAAATTTGGTGCTAAGGAAATACACTGGCGAAAGGAAACTTAAACTAGATCAGGCCAGAAATTGCAAAGACAAACATTCCAGATAATTTTCTCCCTGTGTCTATATGGCAGAGGCACTTGGGAAGTAGCCAAGGAAGTTGTCCAATCATTAACAAATAAAAGTTGATAATAACTTTACAGGGAAGAAAAATAAATTAGCTAGAATGTGAACATTCAAATGTGTTAATAAAATAGTGGATATGGTATTGACAGTATATGATTAACTTTTAAATCTCACTTTAGTTGACTTCATCCTTTCAATCCAGTGTTTGTTCTATTTAAAAAGAACCCTAGCATAAAACACTTTAGCAGAGATGGGAGGATAAGATGAATTTTTAAGTTATGTGTTACCTTTTAGTCAAACCTTCTGTTTTATTTACAGTGGCTTCAAACAGTATTAGAAAGTACAAATTTATACTAAAAACATAAAGCTCCAAGCTACCCTAGTAATTTTAAGATGTAATAATCATGCATATATAAAGAGTAAATTTATAATAGAAAGCATTCCTTTCAGCAATACCTGTTCATATTTTTAAAAACTGTGTTTGCACATGGAGATGAATAAGAAAAGCATGAAATAAAGTGGAAACTTTCAAATATTTAATAGTACCATTAATATAAACAAACACTATATTAAAAATTGTTTGCTTTTTAAAATGCTATTATAAATTAAATATACAAACTAAAAAAAAAATCACATTACAGAATGCTATAAATAAGGTTGATGAATTCAGAGTACCTTTGAATATTAAAAAAAGAAAAGTTTTAAAAATACTTTCATACTGTTGCAATAGATTTTACAAAATTTAAAACTACATTTTCCAGGAGAAAAGATTTGGCCACTTAATGCTCCCATGCAAGTCAAAAGAACATCTGTTAGCTGCCCAGAGCAAATTCCACAAATTTCCTGGTGTCGATAACACTGAACCTGCCTTTTCAGTACCTTAAAACTCTTAAGTCCCTTCTCGGGTGCTTATATGTCCATTTTTCGAAGGCTCATTCTGCTGAAGGAATCTCTGGAGAGTGAGGGAAAAAAAACGTGAAATGAGCTACTACAACTTAAACCACAGAATGTAAGTTTTATTTCTTGCCAATTGAATAACAACAATCTGTTGCAGAAAGCGTTTCTTCTATAGAACATTGGTTAAGGATCAAATGTTCAACATTTCGAAGTTACGATAGCACTGAACAAGTCCTTAAAAGTTCCAACTGTCTCACCACCTCTGAGGTCACATGATCACGATCTGGGTCTTTGCAACCGGCTCACACTTAATGACTGTTGCAGTGTCCCACAGTCATGTGATTGCCGTTTGCAACCTTTCCTGCCAGCTTCCCACAAGCAAAGACAATGGAAGAGTTGACAGGGAAGGTCTCCAGTTGCTCGGTTAAGTCTTTCTCACCCTTGCACCCTACCCTAGCCGCTCTGCGCTCATGCTGCATCTCCCTGGCCACTCTGGCACCCTTCCCAAGCGTACCCTTCCCAAGTGCGTGCTGCACACTCCCATGTTCCCTCTCCCACCTGGCAGGAGCAACTTGTCTGTCTGCTGGCCTATTTGTGAGCCACCTTGCAACTTCCTGCTAACTTTCTCATTAAATTGGATTGTTGGAAGTCAGCAGCGAAGTTGTGAGGAGGTCCTCTGTCAATTACCCATAGACGGAAAAAGACAGCCGGGCTTTGAGCCAATCAATATGTAATACAAGTAGTCCTAGATTTAACACTCATTTATTTAGGGACTGTTCAAAATCACCACGGCATTGAAAAAAGTGACTTCACAACTGTTCCTCGCACTTACGAATGCCACAGTATCCTCATAGTCATGTGTTCAAAGTTTGGGCGCTTGGCAACTGGCATATATTTATGACAATTGCAGGGTCCTGGGGTCATGTGATCGCCTTTTGTGACTTTCCTAGCAGGCTTCCAACTAGCAACGCTTAACAATCACACGGTTCACTTAACAACTGCAGTGATTCACTTAACAACTATGGCCAAAAGGTGGTAAAATAGGGTGTGACTCGGTTAACAACTGTCTTGCTTAGCAATGGAAACTGGTCGTAAGTCAAGGGCCACCTCTATGGAAAATGGCACCATCTTACCCAATAGGTTACGTAAGGTATAGTTATGGTAGATATTTTTTTTTCATTCAGGAGGCCTTTGGGGGAAAAATGAGAAATGTTGTATTAGAATGACCTGTGACAAGCAGCAGGTAGAACAGCTTTGTATAATTGGGGTATTTTTCTATTTATCAAGGGCTGAAGGGCTTCTTTGAGACGATGATAATTTCTTTCAAGTTCCCGCTGATACTCTTTTTGGTCTGCACCAATCAAGCTTTTGTTTTTGCGTAGGGCGTCCTCACATCTAGAACACAATACAAAGTATTTTCAGTGAGCAACTGATTATAAACGTATTAGATGATAATTAAACATTTTGTCAATTTATCTTTGTTCGTCCTTAAGTTCCTAGATAATGCGAACTACGCCTATTTGAAAGTTCATTTCACATAAAATCAGTGCAGCTTGATTTTTGGGGGGTAGTCGTGCTGTACTGCTGAAGCTGGTTTTTCAGCACTATAGTTTCTCTATATTTTGGCACACTTGCTACCAAGTAATTGTGGACATTTTCTTTTTTCTAATATGGAGAGCTTTTTGAAAAAAATAAAACCAATTTACTGTCTATGCTAAATGTCTGGCCTCCACAACATTTTACAAATGTAAATAGGTAGCACTGTCTCAAATATAAAGATAACCTGCTTTTTCATTAAAAAAAGTAACATTTCAGTAATTTCTCAAAATTGTATTAAGAAAGTATCTCCTATCCATTAGACTGAAAAGTGGAAAGGGACTCAAATAACACAAGAGACATAGAAATGAGCACCCAAAAGATTTGTTTTTGCTAACCGAAGGGGGAAAAAAAGTACAGATCTTTATACTGTAACAAATGATACCTTTTGTAACAAACATGTACCAAACAAATACCTTTTTGTAAAGTCTTTGAAACAAAGCCGAAGTTTATTATGGTGGCGGAAGAGTTTAGGATCATTGGGTATTTCAGATAAAAATACTTGTGCAACCTCCAGCGGCCCCTTAATGGAAAAAAGGACAAGATAATTTTATGGACACGACATATTTAATAAAATGTAGATTTCTTTAACCTTATACATCAAAAGCCCTTAGACAGACAACACAAAAACCAAATCACATCATTGCCTTTAATATATTGAAAAAGATAATATTTGGGGGCTAATTTGAGGTGTTTTTATTTAGAATTATGCTACTTCAGTTGTATGAGGCTAAGCAACTAAAGCTATAACCTTGAGCTATCTGCAACATTGCAAAAATCAATAAAACCAGACTATAAAACCAGTAAACTAATTCATAAATGCACTTCTTAGTTATTATAACTGGCACTATAACTGTCATTACAGTAGGGATGGGCAACTCTGACTCCTTTACAACCTATGGACTTCAACTCCCAGAATTCCTCAGCCCACAACGTTGACTTCATCTTTCGGTTGACCTGGGTATGTTACCCAACTCTCAAAGATTCTGGGCAGGTCACAACAATCAAATTATAATAAAACATTAAAAAGTAAAAAAAAATGGCAAGCACGATGAAGTGAGGGGGTCTCATTCTCCCTTGCCGAAGGCCTGGGCAAAGGACCAGGTCTTCCTAGCTCTTGTATACAACAACAGAGTGAGGGCCATCTGGATCTGGATGATTGTGGCTCTTTAGGGAGGAACAGAGTTGAAATTTTACCTCCCCCTTTTCCAATCATAGTAATTGTGCATTCTTGTTTCTTATCAATTCAGGTGCCAGTACGTAAGTCATCCTATGATAGAAAATTATCCATTCTTTTCACTTCCATGTATGCTAACAGGAAGAAATCTGATACAGGTAGTCCTCAACTTACAACAGTTCATTTAGTGAGTGTTCAAAGTTACAATGGCACTGGAAAAAGTGACTTATGACCGTTTTTCACACTTAACAACCAGTGCAGCATCTCCACGGTCACATGATTAAAATTCAGATGCTTGGTAACTTTATGACAGTTGCAGTGTCCCGGGGTCATCTGATCACCTTTTGCAACCTTGTGACAAGCAAAGTCAATGGGGAAGCCAGATTGGCTTAACAACTGTGTGACTAACTCAACAATTACAATGATTCATTTTACAAACGTGACAAGAAAAGTCGTAAAATGGGGCAAAACTCACTGAACAAATGTTTCACTTAGCAACATAAAGCTGGGGCTCAATTATGGTCGTACCTCAAGGACTACCTATACTACATGCCATTTAAAGTCCTCCATGTAGCCATCGAAATAAAGACTTGTACTTAACAGCATACTCTTAACTTTTAAATACCCAAATCGTTGTGCTTTATGATACTCTATATTCTTACCTGATTTACAGTGGTGCCTACTGAGCCCTGAAGCACCATCTGGAGCATCTTTGGGTCTGCTGGATCTTGATGGGTTGCAAAAGCCAATTCTTGGGTTTTTTTCTGCATGTCCTCAATGGCAACTTCAATTGGTGTCAAGATTATCTAACAAAATAAAGACCCAGGGGTATGCAAAAAGCATTAAGAAAATTTACAGATATTTTATTTTCTAAATAAGGGAAGAAAACATTTGGATTTTTCCCCTCCATTGCCCAGTGCAAAGTAATACTAAAAAAATAGTACTTAAACAGGTGGCCATTGCTACCAAATGCCCCAGGAGCCCATCTAATGTTTCAACTAATTTTCTAATGCCCTATACTAGCTTTCTGCAGTAGAAAGCCTGAACAATCTGAAAAATATTCTGTAAAACATTTTTTACTGGGCAATTTACTGGGTAATGGACCCTAATTACTGATTGATGATACCAAGATTCACACACTAAACCACAATTGTGGTTTATTTTAACCACAGTTTGCAGAATACTCCATAGTTATCTGTGTTCGTGCACAAAAGCTGAAGATAAGAGCTGTGGTGGTGCAGTGGTTAGAATGCAGTACTGCAGACTCTGCCGACTGCCAGCAGTTTAATCCTGACCGCTCAAGGTTGACTCAGCCTTCCATCCTTGCAAGGTTGGTAAAATTAAGACTCTTGTCAGAGAGAGGGATGTAAAGCTGTAAAGCACTATGAGGTGGTATATAAGTATCATTGCTATTGCTAAGTGCTATTGCTAAAGCACACAGTGTATGGGTTCACCTATAGTACAAAGCCAAAACCAAGTATAAACATTATTTAGTGTGATATGTGGATCTAATTAATTCACAACTTAGGAATGATGATAATAATAATGAAGCAGAAAAGATTTTATTTGTAAAAGATGGCTACAAAGTCAATACATGAATTAGTAATTTGAGAAGCATACTTTGATTTGTAAGGATTTTTTAATTCTGAGAACTACAAAGCAAAATGGCAACTTTCAATTATGTTTTTTTAAGAAATGAAATGGGACTATGGGCCATTAATTTAAGACTCAGACAGATACGTTGCATTCTTTCACTTCACTCTTTCTTCTACTTCATCTCCTTCACCATACTTTAAATTATAAGCTTCTATAAATTCAGGGTGCTTGTTTATTCAACAGTCACATAAATCTATGTTAATAATAGCAGCAGCAGAATTTTGTGACGAACAAAGCATAAGCTGTTTTCTCAAAGACTCGTGAAGATGCTACCAAATTAAAAATAACTTGATCGTTTTTAAGTGTTGCAAATTAAAACGGAGTTGTCTGAAAATACTGCACTAAACACATTGTCCATCATTTCCTTCATCACCCAGGCCTTTTATCTCTTTTAAAGGCAGAGTATAATGGAAGTACAAGACTTACTTCTTCCTTGTGAATGACGTTTATCCTTGTCTTAATGTAAGGAAAAGCATGTGATGTGGTCAGGATAGTCTTCCTTTTGAACTGTTCGTGCAACTCCCCATGAGCTCTGCCATCCAATGTGAACGGGGTACAATACATGAATCGCCGCAAATTGTAGTTTTTGTCAAAATAAGTTATCCTGTCCTTCATTTCGTAAGTATCAAAATAAGGCTCAACGTAAGTGATTTGTATATAAGCCTGAGGAAGGAAAACAGATTAACAGCAATAAAATGTTAGAACATAACCGATCACAGAAATGAGTGGTTCTATTAATGCTGGAAGAAGCCCTTTCCCACATGGCAGGTTCTGAAACTAGCAGTTCACAGTTGTTTTTAAAGGATGGTGAACCTATGGCACGCGTGCCAGAGGCGGCATTCGGAGCCCTCTCTGTGGGCATGCGCGCTGTTGCCCCAGCCCTGCCTTCCCCCCATGGCCCCCTCATCAGCAGCCCCCTGGAGGACAGTCGTCCCCAGGCGCGGCCTGCACGGAGCAGTGCAGCCAAGGACATGGCAGCCGGGCAGCAGGAACAAGACTCTATCCTCATGCCCTGTCGCACACAGATGATGCTCTGGGGCACGGAGTGGCCCTGAGGGCGGGCGGGGACGGGGCAGAGTGAGTGAAAATAAAAACTTGGTTTAAAACAAACAAAACAACCCCTTTCTAACGACGCCATGCTTAATAAATTTTATTGTATTTTATATTTGTATGATTTTCTTGATGCCTGTGGGTAATAATAATAATAATAATAATAATAATAATAATAATAATAATAATAATAATAATAATAATAATAATAATAATAATAATAATAATAATAAAAGTTGGAAGGGACCTTGGAGGTCTTCTAGTCCAACCCCCTGCTCAGGCAGGAAACTCTATACCATTTCAGACAAATGGTTGTCCAGTCTCTTCTTAAAAACTTCCAGTGCTGGAGTATTCACAACTTCTGGAGGCAGGTTGTTCCACTGATTAATTGTTCTATTAATTGTTCAATTGATTGGTTCTGAATGTTTGCCCTCACAATTATGTGATTTTTTTAAAACCCCTTTTTATTTTGCATGGTCTTTGGACATAATAAAGATAAGTAAGAGCTATACATATGTTGACAGAGCAGAAGCAGTATAACAAGAGAGCAGCTTTATTCCTCCTGATCAATTTCATTCCTGAAACATGCTATATTCATATCTAGATTGAAAGGGAAAGTGTAAATACAACTTGTTATCCTTATTCTCTTGGGAGAAGTAGTCAGGTAGTTAGGCCATTTCTAACATCACACAGAAAAATGTTCATCAAGACAAGGCCCAAAATACAATGTTTGATCATAAATTAATATCTTACTTTATTGGCATCTAATTTGCACTTGTCAACAGGGTTAGAATCTTTAATAACCTCAACAGCATCTTCACCAAACCTTTCTCCATAAAATCCCTGAAAATGATAAACATGATATTAAGAACTGAACAGAAGCCAACATTTTAAACAAAAGTTGAGCAAAAACAGGCATTCCGTCCCATCACAACTGACTTCTTTTTCCCAGCTTTAGAACTGCAATATACAGGACCTGCTATAAACCTAGTGATTTTATCTGGTTTGAAAGCACTGTTTCTTATCTCTCTAGCTTCAAACATTACTCATTCTCTATTATTATCATGCTTTCTGCTCATGACATTCTGAATAATAAATGTACTATAGTTTGTCTGATTTATGTCCTGTGTTTCCATCAGAGACTCAAGGTGTCATGCACAGCATTCTTTCCTCCAATTTTATCCCCATAACAAATTTGTGACACATTGGGCTGAATATGATAAGTTACCACGGCTGGTGATGGATCTGAACCTAGGGCTTCCATGTCATAATCCTAATTCACACACTCTCAGTTTAACCTACCTTCAGTGTTGCTGATGTGGGGAAAAACAGAATGATGTGCTATGTACACAACCTTAAACTCGTGAATGAAAGGCTTAAATACATTTTAGAATTATATTTATTTTTCACATTTCTGAACCACCCATCTTCCTCAGAGAGGGACTCTGCATTGTATATGTTCTGAGGAAGTTCATTTTCCCACTGCTAATCCTCATATAGACAAAACAGAATTATCTAGAGCAGTGTTTCTCAACCTTGACAATTTTAAGGCATGTGGACTTCAACTCCCAGAATTCCACATGCCTTAAAATTATCAAGGTTGAGAAACACTGATCTAGAGCAAGTATCAGCATGGCGGAAAGTGTGACTTATTGTTGTATACAAATAAGGAGAATTTTTAAAATTAAAAATATTGGTTGATATATATATCCCCCAAGTTCCAATGCAACTAGATCATGAAAGTGACTTTCAAAACAATGTAAACTGAAGCTACTAAAACTAGTATAGTTAAAATTTCATTGAAATGCAGTAAAAGAAATAAAGTAAAAGTTTAAAATCTTTATTAATGTAGGCAAATATTCTAAGCTTGACCAGGAAATCTCACCTCTAATCTATGAGAAATTTCAGCAAGTTTTGTTATAGCAGGCTCCTTGTACATGAACTCCTGTTCATCCAAATCTCCAAATTTAGTTCCATAAAAGCCAACACGGAAGTATGTACCAAACATTCGCTTACCATCCTAAGGTATATAAAGTTATGTGATATTTAATATAAAATACGTTGTTACTCTTTAAATAAAAATTCTCTAAAGTACAACCTCATGCAAGGATATAACAACAACCAATCAACTAACCAAAAGTACTAGTGATATTTTATACAAGGTACAGCACAAAGGCAAAATTCAAAATTAAATTTTACACTTATGAGATTTATGGGAATCTCATGCATTATTGGGGAAAAAAACCCAGTGGCTTAGCTCTGCATAGGAAGAATGGAATAACTTTTAATGGCCTGAATTTAGATGATACTATGAGTATCGGTTGAAGAGGGTTCCTTAGAAATGGGTTTCTTTTATTTCTACAATTATTGGAAGATACATTTCTAAATTCTACAAGTTTGAATAACTTCAGAATAAATCTGTACATTACAGTCTAAGCACTGATGTGAATTATGTTCAACTGTTAGCACTATTGTGGTTTGCTATGGATGTAGCTGCACTCAAAAGGAACACGGAGGTGCTGTGAGTGTGAAATGACTGTTATCTGTAACTTCTCTTAAAACAATAGCCAAAGATTGAAACAGCAACCTTGGTTTCAAGAAGTTCCACTTGGCTATGCAAGGAACATGACATTATCCCAATGTGTCATATGTGATGCTAGCTCTATATGTAATGTAGAGTGGAGAATGCCATGGTAACAATCTTGAGTTATTCTCAAGTATAATTTTATCTTCTAGAAGAAATGAAAACAATTTTGGGAAGATGATTTTAGTTACGCTGTCACCAAACTTTCTCCAACCATTGTTCCTGAGGTCATACCGTGTGTCTGCAGCTCAAATATCAGTGACAGTTGAAATTCTTCTGTTTGTAGTAATAAGATTTGCATTGCTAACACTGGAAGGGATACAGGTCATCTACTCTATCCTCTATGTAGTATAGGTATAATGGTTATGGTTTAAGGAAGTTTTGCCTGCCGGTTCTCCCTTTGTGCATGTCCTTTTGTGCCATAAAAACCATGTGCATGTCTAGGGGGATTTGGGTCATAGGGTGCAGAGTTCTATAGGATGGGAAATATCCTGTGGGTTCTTTATAGGTTCCCATGCAGTTCCTTTCACTTGGGCATTTAATAAAAGCAACACTAAAGCCAAGGATAGCAACTGTTGTTTTCCAGACTATTGAGATTACAACACCCAGAATCCATACCATTGACATACTAACCATGGATTAAGGGGATTGCAAAGGAAGGCATCTGGAAAAGCACCAGAATGCTTATCCCTGATTTATAGCAGCAAAACTGAAAAAAGGGCACTGTTTTATAAAGACAACATGTAACTAAAAGATACAAAGCAGCACAGAGTTTGAAATTAAGGTTACCCGTCCTGGAATTTCCTCCCCCACAAAAAGATCACACTACTTGAACAAATATAGCTGAGAAAAGGACTCCAAATGTTCACCTTGACTCTCATGGCACAGTTATATTCTGTGAACTACCTTTCTCTTTTTTCTTAAAAAAAGAAAAGGGGAAAAAAAAGAACAACACAGAGAGATTTTGAACTTTGTGTCCCACTACTATGTTTCAGAATTATGTTTAATAGAGAAGAAAAGAGTTAAACCAAGCCTCCAGCTTAAGTTTCCAGCTTTAGGAAAGTTGACTCAGGCTTCCATAGTTGGTAAAATGAGGACCCAGATGGTTGGGGGCAAGATCCTGACTCTGTAAACCGCTTAGAGAGGGACTGTGAAGCACTGTATAAGTCTAAGTGCTATTGCTGTTTAGGCTGAACAGAGAATCTTTTAGGAAGATGCTCAGATTGGGATATGCAAAAAGCTTCAGGGGAAAAGAGCACCCTACTGTGGTTCTTCCAGGAAAAGTTGTTTTGTACAGAACCTGATCGGACAAACAATTAAAACTTTTAACTATTAATTATTAATTAAATTACCATTCAAGATTGGATCTGGGCCTATTCTTCCAATGGTTATTGGTGTCTTTCCTCCTTTTAGAACAGGAATCTCCAAACTTGGCAACTTGTGGACCCCAATTCCCAGAATTCTTGGCTCCCAGCGTGACTGGTTGAGGAATTCTGGCAGTTAAAATCCACGAGTCTTAAAGTTGTCAGGTTTGGAAACCCTTGTTTTAGAAAATAAGGCTTCATCACCATCAAATGCAATCAGGTCCAGTTCTTCAAAGGCAAAGAACTCATCATATGAGCAGCAGGGGTGAAGGTCAAGTGATGTGCATTTACTGATAAAGGCTACCCTTTACATACTTCCAGATACATATTTTTTAAAAAATTCTGACTGTTTAGAAACAACAGGTTAATTGGATTTGCATACCATGACATGGCAGTTCTGAAAAAGCCTGCCGGTCTATAATGTGGAATAATTTGAAAAATGTGCTTAAAGTTTCACTTTTTACAGGTCAAAATTGTCAAACAATTACAGATGGTCCTCAACTTATAACCAGAACTGGTTATGAGTTCTGTTGGAAATCATTGTGGTTATAAGTTGAATCGGACCTGATTTTATGACCATTTTTATGATGGTCATTAAGCAAATCACCCTGGACATTAAATGAATCAATGGTTGTTAAGTGAACACCAGGGTTGCAAGTGTGAACACAGGTGCAGCTTTTAGACCTGCCAATTAAACAATTGGTCAAGCAAACTAGAAAAGGACATTAATATCACTTCTATCTGGTGTGGTTCTAAGACCATCATAAACCAAACATTTGTATGGCTTCAATAAAAGTCCATTTTAATAATACATTTAATTGGATCATTTTAAAGTGTAATTACTTGTGGAAATGCAAAAACCTGGTCACTCTCAAATCAGGCTCAATCGTCATGTATCCCCAATGTTTTTGTAGGTAATTATGAATTTTACAGCGTAAGAACATATTCTGCAAACAGGATTTAAGAGCTGTCTTAAGAGGATGTTTTCTATATTTTTACTTTTCATTCTACCCACAGACTCATGGGGAGATAAAACACAGGCAAAGAGATTTGCCCCTCTACTGCCCTCTAATTATTATTATTTAAACCTGTTAAACTAAAAAGCTATATGCCCTTCGTTTTCAGACAAGGTGCTAGCTGATATAACCAGAGCCGCTTCAGATTTCTTTGATCATCTGTCCAGGATCATCAGTTAAATAATTTACCATGGGAGAATGGCAGATAGTCAGCCATATTGCATGAACACAGCTTAAAAGTAAAACTCAGCTCTGTGAAGATTACGCTGGGTGTTTGGCTACTGCCTTCAGTAAAAAGCTGCATGTGGCCTTGGTCTAGCTTTGAGCTAGCAGTTTAGATGTCTCCCCTGACAGCTGGATGGATATGATCAAAAAGAAATGAGAGAAACAGCTAGAAGTAAAAAAAAAAAAGGGGGGGGGAGGGAGTAGTTGAGAAAGGGACAATATTGGGGGGGGGGGTGTTGGATCAAGCTGTGTGCACTCTTAAGTTCTGGAAGATTACCTCTACACACTACCTGGATGTGGTACACAGTGGATGTCCTTATATGACATAAACAAATTGTTAAAGAAGATGCATTCTACAGTGCTATCTGATTCCAACCGTATGGAGATCCTAAAACCAAGCTTTACATGTGTTGTATTTTATAAATCCAAATGACATTCGCATAAGCAGACAAGAAGTCTGTGTTAAAAATGTCAGTTTTCATAACTTCAAAATGCTAGCCGTTTTGGTTATGGGGAATACAGTAAGTCTAAGATTTTGGTCAATGAACGGTATACAGTAGAAGTAAAATGGTATTATTAACTGAACTTTTTAATCTAGCGTATTTGCTATGAATGGAGTAAATAAGAGATAGTGTATATTTAATTGCATATTCTGGTTTTTCTGAAGTTATTATTGCCTATCCTGGAATTTTGCAATTGGGAAGAACAAGTGTTACTCTAACACTGAATTAAAATCTGTTTAAAATGAAAACTCTGCAAGTTGTTTTAGGGAGCGTAAAACCAGGGAACACTGAAACAGGCTTTTCACCACAAGGAATCTTCCAATTCATTTGTTCAATTAAGCCAGGGGTGGCCAATTAACTTTCACGAAGGGCCACATCAGAAACTAGGACTATTGTGGAGTGCTGAACCAATAAGGCTGTGAAAGTGCATAGCCATGCATGCACATAAGTAATTTGCAAAAAAAAAAAAAAAGTCACTTTCAAAATAAAAGCAATCCATACAGGTTGGACAGGGACAGTCAAAGGGCCAGATGTGGTCTGGGGGCGGCAAAGTGTCAAAGTCTGCTCTAAGCTAATTATAATGTGGCCCAGCTAATTTGGCCTTTGAAAAAAATTGCCTCCAATGCACCAGCCCACTGTACAAGTTCTAAGGCTGTTCTTATTTTATATATGTAAGATATCTGCTTCTTTACTGTACCTAGAAAATTTACATTTTTCTCTATCAGGTTGCTTAGGCAACGTTACCTAACAATTCAGAACAATGAATCTGTGATGCTCCAAATATTTCTGAACGACAATTCTCACCTGGGAACTGTAATTCAGCAATTTCTGGGCTTTAGATTCTTCAAACTTTATTTCCCAATTATCCTATTTATGATCCATATGAAAGAATTAAGAAAATGCTTGCTGCTATGTAATTAATTAGAAGTATTCTACGATAATGAGTTTCAAACAGATTGCCATAATTCTAAAACAATGGTCACCCAAGACAAATTAGGACTTGGCATATGAAAGGAAGTTTCTTTCCATTTAGCATCCATTTATTTAGGGAGATGGGAATGCGTTGATGGGTCAGTTCCTGGAAAAATTTTAGAATGGAGTGAATGCAAAACATGCTGGAATGAAACAAAGCATTAACAGGCAGAAAATGGAGAGGGCAATAACATCATATGGTATCATGTTATTGTTCAGAATGTGGAGCATTATCTATATGGAAACTCTGATTTTGAGCAAAGGTATTCACAGAAATCAAACTCGTGCTTTCAAGCCATAAAACACATTAATACTCCATGGTCTTTGTTTCTGAGAGATGCAAAATGCAGTTATGA